GGAAATACCTGGTCAATAAACCCAGATGCACACACTTCTCTGATAGTGACATCAAAATATAGAGGACGTCCATGAAACCCATTTCACAGCGACACACAGCAGAACATGAAGCGCATTGAGTGTGCTCAGATAACCGTAAAATAATAACAAGACGCTGGGATGCAGGGCTGGAAATAGCCCAGTGTGTTTGGGCTCAGCGCTTCCGGCGTGACTATTAACAACACCTGCTTTAGCGCCCCGAGGCCTGATTCTTATTCTTATAGGGTCATGCATTAATGCATACACGCTCATTTACATACAGCCCCTCCCACCACCACCATGTGCATTCCCATATTTGAGTGATTATTCCTTTTGCTGGCTATAATTCAAATGCAGCATTATTCAAAATATCAGAAAACAGTTGATTATGGCATGCTGGAAATATGGCATCCATCACGGTGACATTTAAAGAAAGGCAAAAGCAAAGATTGGATATGTATCCTCATCAATATGGCGATGCTGCGTTAATTTTTGAAAAGCCATTGTTGGCTTTTATTGCTTTTATAGGCACTGCAGTCGCCCGGAGCGAGGGATTCATCAAAGACAGATGCACAACGACAAGCCTTCATGATGTTCTCATGACGGATTCACTGAGGGACAACTCGCGCTACGGCATAAACGAGGAATTCAGAATTGCATTTGAATTGAATTGGCCACAACACATCGTGAGTTGAACTGAAATTGGATTTGGAATGACATTAAAAACCCAAAAATGAAAATTCATGCTGTGTGAATTCAATCGGTTCATTATATAAAGTGATCGAGTCTCTTCAGAAAATCTGGACTAAACCACTCAATTCATATTAATTTTTCAATCTCTTTGCGTCAAAGTGGTGTCCGAAGATGGTTTGGAACGACAAGAGGTTGAGGAATTAATGACCGAATTTTCATTTTTGGGTGAAATATCCATTAAGAAGAAACAAACTTGAGCGAAACGAGAGGAATTAGCAAATTGCATCAATATTTCAATAATGTCGTCAAATAACAAGCAAAAAATTTCCATCACATTGTTTTCAGATACACTCTCAGAAAAAAAAGGTACAAAAGCTGTCACTGGGGCTGTACCTTTTTAAAAAGTAAACTTTTGTCCATTTTAGATGCTAATAAGTACATTGCAGGTGCTAATATGTACATTTTAGGCCCTAATATGTACATTTTAGGTGGTAATATGTACATTTTAGGTACTAATATGTACATTTTAAGTGTTAATATACATTTTAGGTGCTAATATGTACATTTTAGACCCTAATATGAACATTTTAGGTGGTAATATGTACATTTTAGGTATTAATATATTTTAAGTGTTAATATGTACATTTTAGGTGCTAATATGTACATTTTAGGTGCTATGTCCATTTCATGAGCTAATATGTCCATTTTATGAGCTAATATGTCCATTTAGGTTCTAATATGTACATTTCAGGTGCTAATATGTACATTTTAGGTGCTAATATGTACATTTCAGGCGCCAATATGTACATTTTAGGTGCTAATATGTACATTTTAGGTGTTATATGTACATTTGAGGTGTTAATATGTACATTTTAGGTGCTAATATGTACATTTCAGGCGCCAATATGTACATTTTAGGTGCTAATATGTACATTTTAGGTGCTAATATGTACATTTTAGGTGTTATATGTACATTTTAGGTGCTAATATGTACATTTCAGGCGCCAATATGTACATTTTAGGTGCTAATAAGTACCACAAAGGTACCAATATGCAGCCTTTGGGTACAAAAGTGTACCTTTTGAAAAGGTACAGTCCCAGTGACAGCTTTTGTACCTTTTTTTCTGAGAGTGTAACTTTCTAAAAATGTATTTAAGAAATAAAAGCTTGAAAACATTGTAAGTCACTTTGGATAACATCAGCTAAATGCTCGTCAAGCAATTCAATACATTTCTAATCTTCACATTTGAGCTTAAAATGAGAAATGAATGGCAAATTGAGCTATTGAAACTAATATTTGGAACAATAAATAGACACAATAAAGCTTTTATAATGTATCCTTTAAAATTATAAACCAATAAACAGTGTTCAGCGGCAGAAAGAGTCATGAAAGTCCACATCAGATTTGTTAATAAAAACATCAAAAAGTCCATTATGTCCAGTAGGCCTACAAATGCTAAATATGAATTATGCTACAATTACAGGATTATAAGGAACACCTCATTAATGCAATTATCTAATCAACCGGTTTATTCTGAATAATGTCAGAATAGGAAAGAAAGGTGATTTAAGCAATTTTGAGCGTGCGTCTGCAATCTGTAAAATAAACATTATTAATTTAATTGTTATTTCAATATTCATCAGGTTTGATTTGCCCATGAAATCATTTGAAAGGATGTTTTCTGGATATCACTGTCAGTTGTCGAGCGAGTCTCGTGTGTATCATCAGGGAATCTGACCCACTTCTGCTTCTCACACACAGCACAGTAAAACACATAAATTAAAGGAATTAACTGATGGCAACAAAAACACTCGCGGCGACTTTTGTAAGCAGTTTAAATCTTTAAACTTCCAGCATCTTCTGCACACTGAAGAAACTGCAGGCGTGTTGTGTTAATGAAGGAGAATCTACAAACCTCTGTTCACAAGTCCTGAGGAAAACACGTTCTGGCCCTGGGGCCCGTTTTCTTCCGCTCATCTGTGTGTGTGTGTGTGTGTGTCTGATACCTGGAGGATTGCGCAGGTTGTCTTATTTTCTAATCAATTAAGCAGTTGTTTTGAAACACAATCTTGTTCTATGTGTTTCAGATGTTAAGGGAGGATTATCTGTTCAGATCAATGGAACTTTTTGCCATGAGCACTACATAATAAAAGTCCTGCTAAAGCATTGTGTTTTATTATTAATACAGGAAGCACCAGTCACTGTAAAAAAATATTGTTGCAATTAGCTGTCACAACTTAGAATAACTTTGCTTGATTTAATTTGTTGAGAACTCAAATATCCAAGTTGACTGTAAAAAATTATCTTGGTTTTAACAGTAAAAGACTGTAAAAATGCTACAGTGAAAAACTGTTAATTGGTTAACAGAACCTATACGGTAAATAACTGATAGATATAATTTTTATGTAATTTTACTGAAAAATACCGTTAAATGTACAGTTTTTGAAAGTGAAAATTAACAACTCATTGTATAATTTACAGTGAAAAAACATATTCCCACAATTCCCTGCATGACACTTCACATTTGATGTATTTTTGTTGAAATATCTTGTTTCTTCGTTTGCGTAGTCTTTTTCTAATCAGTTATGTACATTAGGCAAGGCAAGGCAAGTTTATTTATATAGCACATTTCATACACAGTGGCAATTCAAAGTGCTTTACATGGAAGAAATTAAAGAAGTCAGAATAATCAAAACAGTTTAGAATAAAAAAAATCATAATAATAAAAATAAAATACAGTGTCGAAAATAAAAATGTACAGTAACAGTCGGACAAACAGTGGCGCAGTGCACATTCAGTAAATGCAATCAATATAAATAAAAACAGTTAAGAGTAACAGTTAACATTAGGGTTTTATGTGACATTTAATGTTATTAAATTAATGTTTATTGCCTTCTTAAAATTTCATGTGTGTTACCATGATGGTGTTTAATGTTTGAGTGAATGACACTGTGCGGCTTCTATATATTCAACATGTCTGATATATTAATATACAGTTTCTTATGAGATGAGCTTCCATTTATCATGTGACTCTCATCACTGCTGTGATTGTTGGTTGTTAGTGTATTACGATGGTACAAAACGGATATTAATACTTCAATAGGACGGTAATTTAACATTATATCAGATAATGAAATACGGTTTAATTCTGTACATTTTAAGTCAAGTCTGTAAAACCTTGTTACCGTAAAGTCTTTTATACAGTAAATTTCTGGCAACCACAGCTGCCGGTATTTTACCGTAAATTGAACACTTTGAAGTTGACTAAACGTAACATTTAATGAACAATTACTTTAAGTAGAAACTACAATTTTGTCAGAATGCAATTTGACTTTAATCTTCGGAACACAATTATTATATTTTAACTTAAAAGGAACGTCAAATTAAGATGTGTAATCAAGACAAAATAAAAACACAAAAATAAGGAAGAACGATGTTTTAGAGGTGTTGTGTGCTTTAATATTTCGGATCAATATTTCCATTGTAGTGTTGCTATTGGGCCATGTTGTCAAACCTTTCAGTAGTGTTTTGTAAATGTTCAATTGAGACGTTAATATTTGTGTATAAAATGACAATTATATCTTTATTCTATATAGTCTGCTTATTGGAAATCAGGATGATCCATCGTTCTGTTTTTCTCTCCATTCTTTTACAGTATATAATTATATTTTATTATTCATACAGGAAACACCAGTGCTGTTTTATTGAATATTTCATTCTGATATATATATTTGCAAGTTCCACTGTGACAACCTACCACATGAGTCGTCATTGGGGCATGTTGTCACATGTGGTCAATATGAATTAAAATTTTGTACTCGAGACGTGTGTAAAATATGACAACTAGCTATAATTATTCTATATTACTTCTCTATATTTTATCGTTATTGGAAATCGTGATGTTCTGTTTGTCGTTCCTCCATTATTTTACTGAAATAACATAACACTAGCCTAATCTTTTCTATCGTCTTCCTGTCATTCGTCCAAACGGACACGGGTGGGCGCCAAACATCATGAAAAGCCTCTCGGTCCTGCATGTGAGAACTACAGTAATTATGGGTCTCAGCGCAACATCAATTATTCACACTTATTTACACGCAAATAAACAAACATTCAGATAAATAAATAAGCGAGTACCTGCGCGGGGAACGCGCGGCTGCCGCGCGCGCACTGATGCCCAGCACAACTGTCTTTATTTGTTTGCCTGCTGTTAAATAAACGAGAATCTAGCGAGAGAAGTGTAAGATTGTGTGCTTGTGTGGGTTTAGACTGACGTTGTGCGCGTCTGCCCTGAGAGATCCTGGAACAGACATCTCCATCTAGCCGTGCGCAATAATTGAAATGGCGCATTTGGCTGCGGGCACACTGCGAGGGCGCGCGGTGAATGATGTCCAGACGTCATTTGCTTTTAATGGCCTCCAGGAAATTTGCCATTACAATTCTCGCAGACATTAGAGCAAAGAAGAGAGTGTAGTGCGGGGAAACGCGCCGCATGCATGAGCACCGCGTCCAGGTCCAGATATTATTTGCTTTGTTTAAAAAGCAATAGCTACGCGTCTTTTATCGCCACTTTATCAACAAGTTCCAGTGCGCCTCCTGCTTTAGCTAGAGAGACTTTTACTCGTTCAGGGAAGGAAAATGTGTTGCCTTTGCGAAAGAGCCTGGGGGAATATTACATCAGACGAAATGACAATGATTAAAATCAGCCTTTCTGCCTCTCCAAAGTCTCAGGAACGGCGCGGTGACACTTGCCTGATGCGTAAACCTTTATACGCTGAACTTTAAACCCTCGGCAGCTATTTTTACTTTGCGAGAGAGCTAAATAATCGAGGGGGAATATCAGGTTTGCATCTGTTCCAATGAGTCTGCTCGGGTTTGAGTTAATTGTCCTCTAATCCTGTGGCCCCAGAGGCGTTTGCGCAGCCCGGAGCCAGAATTCTTCTTTCGGCTCTGCTCTGATTTAGAGACGGATTATTGGCTTTCTTCTGCCCATAAGCAAAGCAGCAGATTCAGCGTGGCCAAAAAAGACAGTGGCGAGGCTGATATACGCGAGTGTTAAGAAATAAGAAGATCAAGAGGGGGAAGGAGAGCTCTGGTCTCCTGGAGAAGGTAAGACAGTCCTGCGCGCGTTTGCGCTCGAGCTCGAGCTCTGAACGCGTCCAGACCACTGAAGCGCTGCTCGCTATAGTCACACACGGCCATCTATGGCGCGTTTTAACGCAGTTTGACGAGGTTTTCAATCCGGACAGGAACATAATAGCTCGATCGGATAGAAACTTGCGAGCGAGCAACGCAATCCTTCATCTGGGAGCAGATTGAACCGGACTCGGATCGCGATTCGGACACCTACGATGTTTGAAACGGTACCATTTCCAATTAAATCTCATCTCAATGTAGAGTAGATGGTCAATGTGATGGTGCTTTTGTGTTTTACCGAGAATGACTGCAACGCCGCGTAAACGCGACGCGTCCTCAAAACGCATTTACGCATCATGTCCTGTGAGATATTTCGAGCTTTTCTGATTCTCTAACCTTATTAAAACACCCCCTAGGCAGAAAGAATGTGTGCTATTGGGTGGATATGCCTCATACCTGAAGCTTTATCGCTGTGAGAGAGACGCCATGTTGTGAAATGATCTGAATTGAAGTTTTAACCCGTAGGGCACCGAAGTGAAACTGGAGAAAGAAAGCGGGAAAAAAGCGTTGATTTCATTGTAGCCTATTATGTGTGAGTTTCATTAAACGTTTTCCATGAACGTCTGACAGGCGTTTTAACGATTCCGCCATTGTTTATTTGACAGGAAAACCTGATGAAAGTTTGACGATCAGTAGACAAACCAGTTCAATGTGGCCAAGATGGGTTTGGAACATCTACCTAAAAAGTTTACAATCTATTTACTCCTCAAACATGTGATAGCATGTTTTGTTTTGTTTTTTTTTCAGGTTTTTACACTAATATTGAACATTGCAGGAAGGTCAACACTATCGTTCGTTATTCATATTTTCATAGTTGAGGCTTTTGGGGTATTGAACATGAGTTTGTGTGTGTGTTAATGTTCCTTTTCCTGTGACTTTAGCCTAGTATTTTACTCCTCTACCTGGTCCCTCCTATTAACATACACACACACACTCACAGAGAGAGAGAGAGAGCGAGAGAGGGAGAGAGGGAGAGGGGTAAATCCACTGTATTCCCTCGGCATTAATATCTGGGCTTTTGGTTACAACGCCCGTGGCTATATGGAGATGAGGGATAGCTTCATATGCCAAAACGTCTTAAGTCTTTTTTTTTTTCAATGGAATCTGTAATGTATCATCGTGCTTATGTATTAAATGAACATTAGTGCTCAGGGCTTGATGGCAACACCCTGGAAAACTGCGCGTCTGCCTTCAGCGCATGGCCTCCAGCACTCGAGCTGAACAACCGCCTTCTGTTTACCATGTATGGGTAAAAGAACTGCGTGGTGGCACACAAATGAGCCAATGCATGGAAGAACTTGTCGTTAAAATCCCTTTGAACTGCAGGTTCACAATAAAGCAGTCTTTCTTTAAGACAACTATGTTAAGTCGTAGGCTATTTCCATGTGGATCATAGTAAGGTGGGGTTTGGACTTGTACAAACAAGCCTTTAAGTTCACACAGGGTTAAAGTGAAACAAAAGGCTTGCTTTTTCATTCAGAATTAAAAACTTGTGTGTGAACGCTCTCACCTTCAGTCTCATGCAGATTTATTCGGAGCATTTGCTCTAGTCTAATAAGTGTGTTAAATCGTCACTCATTTAGATGCTTTAA